GGACTTTGAGTGCTTTGCAGCTGCTGTACCTCATCTCGTGTCCATGCTGATTGCACCTGAGGGAGACCCGGATGCACCAGACATCCCGACCCCGCGCTCTTACGCAGAGGCGATAGAGGGTCCCTACTCCTCTCAGTCGCAGACAGCCATGGACGCAGAGATGGCATACTGGAAGTCCACAGGCACTTACGTTGACGAGGTTCCTCCACCTAGGGCGAACATCGTCAGTGGCATGTGGATTTTCAGGGTGAAGCGGCCGCTGGGTTCTCCGCCGGTCTTCAAGGCGCGTTACGTTGCACGTGGCTTCAGTCAGCGACAAGGAGTTGACTTCTTCCAGACCTTCTCCCCCACCATGAAGATGACCACTCTTCGGGTTCTGCTGCACGTCGCTGCTCAGCGTGACTACGAGCTTCACTCTCTTGACTTCAGCACTGCTTTCCTACAGGGCAGCCTGCACGAGGAGATCTGGCTGCGCCGCCCACCGGGCTTCACTGGGTCGTTTCCTGCTGGTACCCAGTGGAGCCTCCGGCGGCCAGTCTACGGTCTCCGCCAGGCGCCTCGTGAGTGGCACGACACACTGAGGACGACTCTTGCGGCTCTTGGGTTTGCACCTTCTACTGCTGACCCGTCGCTGTTTCTACGCACCGACACTTCTCTGCCGCCGTTCTACATCCTCGTGTACGTCGACGACTTGGTCTTTGCCACTGCTGACACTGAGGGACTCGCCCTCGTGAACTCGGAGCTGCAGAAGAGACACACGTGCACAGACATGGGTGAGGTGCGTAGCTATCTTGGCTTGCAGATCACCCGGAACAGAGCACAGCGCACCATTACCTTGACTCAGTCACACATGGTGCAGCAGGTCCTTCAGCGCTTCGGCTTCGAGTACTCCTCGCCACAGGCCACTCCCCTGCCTACCGGTCACTCGCTCTTAGCTCTGCCTTCGGATGAGTCCGTAGAGCCGAGTGGCCCGTATCCAGAGCTTGTGGGCTGCCTCATGTACCTGATGACCTGCACTCGACCTGACCTCGCTTACCCTCTTAGCATCCTGGCTCGCTACGTTGCGCCCGGGAGACACCGACCAGAGCACTGGAAGGCCGCTAAGAGGGTGATGCGCTACTTGTGCAGTACGTCGGGCATGGGGCTCGTGCTTGGAAGACGGGCTCGAGTTGTCCTCACTGGTCACCCAGACGCTTCTTGGGTTGACGACTTGGCTACGTAGCGGTCGTCACAGGGTTACACCTTCAGCCTTGGCTCCGGCTCTGTTTCGTGGCGATCTACCCGCTCGTCTTCTGTGCTCAGCTCCAGTTGTGAGGCTGAGATCTACGCAGGGGCCATGGCTGCACAGGAGTTATGCTGGCTCACCTACCTGCTGACCGACTTGGGCGAGCCGCCTCGTTCTCCTCCAGTGCTGTACGTCGACAACAAGGCCATGATTGCCTTGTGTCAGGAGCACAGAGTGGAGCACAGAACGAAGCACATCGCTCTGCACTACTTCCTTGCTCGAGAGTTGCAGCAGCGTGGTCAGCTTCGTCTTGTCTACGTGGCCTCTCAGGCCAACACAGCTGATGTCTTCACCAAGGCACTTCAGCCTTGTGATCATCAGCGTTTCTGTACTGTTCTAGGCCTTGTGCCTACTTGGCCTCACTTGCTCACTTCTTGACTTTGCTTGTACTGTGACTTATATACTTATACATGCATGCTTCCACTTGCTAGGTTTTGATCACTGTACTGCTTGCTCTGCTTTTTATAACTCTGCATGTGAACTGGCCTTGTGGCCATTTGCTTGTGCTCAGAATGCGTGGTGACGTTGTGATCCACCCTGAGCTTGACCTTGTCTCGTTCACTTGCTTGTCCCCCACTTTGCCTATGGGGGTGTGTCAGAACTATGCTCTAGGCTGTAGTGGGGCACTCCTTATGGGGTACTGCCCAAATTAGGTTTTGCCTATACAAACATTGTACTGCTCTCTTTCTAGTCATTCTTTCCTTCACATTTCTGACAGAACGGGACAGAAGGGGCGACAGGAGCACCGGCAGAAACGAGGCAGCGGCGAAGAAAGTGACGCAAGCGAGGGAGGAACGCAACGAAAGGAGTTATGGGAGCGAGGGACGCGCGAAACGAAGAGGGGGACGAGCGATGAGAGTCGGACGAACTCGACGAAGGAAGCGACGTGAGCGTGGGACGCGCGAGACAAAGGGACGGGCGGGCAAGGAGAGAGGAAATGACTCGAGCGGCTGATATAAGGAACGAGGAATTGAAGAGTGAAGCGCGAGAGGGAGAGAGCGAGAGAGGGAAGGAGCTAGGGAGACCGATGTGAGGGAGGGGAACGAAGCAGGCATTTTGATGCCATGGGAGCTGCTGCCAGATGGGGAATGGCAGCAGCTGTGTTGAAACGACACCCCCACTATCAGAACGAGCAGCTGTGATTTTTGAAACCACCTACCGCCGATGTGGTGTCTGCGTGGCGTTCTCGGTAAAATTTGGATGGCGAGGCTTGTGCTCTGTCACGATTGCGTCGTTGTTAGACCACAAATCTCCACACTGTGGTTTTCACAACCAATAAGAAACTCGAAATGATAAATGTTGATGAACCTGGACTCGATACAACGAACTTGATATAGTTCATAGCTCCCGTAAGAATTGCAAAACTTATTGTAGAGTGTACTTTGATACCAACGTGGGTGCTTCCGTCAGAAATGCGTTATTCGTTATTCCGCGCACTCTCCTGAACAGATTCGCAGAGCGCAGCCGTCTCGCAGCACGCCTTTGGCCCACAGACCTCCCGACTCACAACTTATCAGTACGCAACCTAGGGTCATTTCAGGGTCCGGCTCTAGGGGTCACCTCGACCGCTCCCTTATCGTGAAAAGTTTCAGGTCAAACAGTTTCCGAATCGTTCGATCCAGAGCGCTTTTCACATTCGAAACGATTCGGAAACTCGCGTGAGGACTGAAAGCACGACAAACCGCTCACGAATCCCAAACGTGAGCTGGCGCTGATGATGATGCGACGCGATGCCGTCTTTTCTGAATCCCCCCCCAACCCCCCTCCTTCCCCCCCCCCCCCCCCCCTCCCCCCATCCTTCCTTCCTTCCTTCCCCCATCACACTCACTCTACGATGGGTTGCTCGTCCGCACCGCAAACGAGAACACTTGTGGCAGGGCTTCGCAAAGCAGGAGGATATTCTGAGAATTCTGCTTCCTTGTGCCGTCCTTGCGTAGTGGAGTTCCCTGCTGCCCCTTACGCTCGTTCGGATAAGTGGATTGTACCTAATCTGTTCGCAATCCCTTTGCAGTTTTTTCGACGCTTTCTCCTTAACGTTAATTCCGGCGTAAGATAGTAGGCGTTACCAAAGTCGGAATCTGTGAGGGTGGATGTTTGAGCGAGAGTGCACAGCAGTGAAAAGCAGTGACAGCGCGACAGGGCTTGTGGTAGCGTGAGCGAGCGCCGATAGAGCGACATAAGTGCGAGCGGCGGCGACAGCCGTGAGTGACATCTGCGAGCGACAACAGTGAGAGAACGCACCCGTTCCGTGAGTGTGAGAGACATTCGCGATCGATTGAAGGACGAAGCGTCGTCCGTCCCCAATTCTGCGGCATGGCGACGGTTGAACATACAGAAAAACTGTCGCACAGCCAGTCGCATGATGGTCTGTCGCAGGGTTTGTCTCAGGAGCAGTCGCACGAGGAGTCTGCTCGCGACACCTCAAGTCTTCTCCATGTATCATTGTCCGCGCGGCCAACCATGACGGTCACCATTTTCACTAGGGGTCATGGCTGGGCGGCGGAGAAAGCACCGCCACCGCGGCAGGATGGCGACGATGGCGACGATGGCGACGATGATCGCGGAAACAAGAAGATTACGATGTGGCCGCATGCGAGGGAGACTGTTGAGTCCTCACCTCGGCACGCGGCGTGGGAAGTTGCTTTGGCGGCTGCGCTTTTGCTGCTCGTCCTCACCTCGGCATTGGCTATCCAGCGACAGCAGGTACTACAGCGCTGCTTTGAGTCACAGAACAACCTTTTATCCGCTTTTGCTGCTCGTCCTCACCTCTGCATTGGCTGTACAGTACTAGCAGCGCTGCGCTTGAGTGTGACTAAAAAATCACCTCGGTACATGGCATGATCATGGCACACGACAAACTCGTTCTGACCTCCACACTGGCTGTCCATTGACGGCAGCTGCAGCGGTGCGGCGCTCCTTTCTTCCCCTCCCTCCCTCCCTCCCTCCCTCCCTCCCTCCCTCCCTCCTTCCCTCCCTCCCTCCCTCCCTCCCTCCCTCCCTCCCCCCTCCCTCCCTCCCTCTCTCCCTCCCTCCCTCCCTCCCTCCCTCCCTCCCTCCCCCCCTCCCTTCCCCCCCCCTCCCTCCCTCCCCCCTCCCTCCCTCCCCCCTCCCTCCCTCCCCCCTCCCTCCCTCCCTCCGTCCCTCCGTCCGTCCCTCCCTCCCTCCCTCCCTCCCTCCCTCCCTCCCTCCCTCCCTCCCTCCCTCCCTCCCTCCCTCCCTCCCTCCCTCCCCCCCCCTCCCTCCCCCCCCCACCCTCCCCCCCCCCCTCCCTCCCCCCCCCACCCTCCCCCCCCCCCTCCCTCCCCCCCCCCCTCCCTCCCTCCCTCCCTCCCTCCCTCCCTCCCTCCCTCCCTCCCTCCCTCCCTTCCTCCCTCCCTCCCTCCCTCCCTCCCTCCCTCCCTCCCCCCCACTTTCCCCTCCTTCCCCCCCTCCTTCCCCCCCCACTCCTCCTTCCTCTCTTCCCATTCCCACCCTATGGCGGTGTGTTGCTGCCCTGCCTCCACCTCTTCAACTCGGAGCTCAACGTCTGGCGAGCCTGGGGGGGATTGAGCAACACATTACCAAGAAGACCTCCCCCGGATTAACTCTATTCCGGGCAGGCCGGCGGCAGCAGTAGTCGTCCGCACCGCACACACCTTAAACTCGCCCCTTCCCCAACCCCCTCCTTGACTTACCCCATGTCCTCCCTTCCTCCCTTTCCGCCCCCCACTCCCAGCCGTCTCTGCTGCTGACGGTGCTTCCAGCGACCACCCTCTCCTCACTGGGTCCGACCCCTCACCCTGACAGCCCTGCCGCGGCTGCAGGCACTGATACTCGTTATAGCGCCACCCGTTATAGTGACCCTGACGGCCGTCGCAGCAAGAATAGCGACATTGGGAAGGGGTTTACGGGCAATGGCGGCGCCGGTGGGCAGGGGTTTGAGCTGCCGAACCTGCCGTCCAGGTTCGATGCATCTGCGGCATGGCGGCAGATGCAGCAGCGCACGGCTGACTCATGCTGGAGCCAACAGGAACGGCACCTGTACCACACGGTATGGCGTGAGAGAGGCATGTGTAGCACACGGTATGGCGTGAGAGAGGCATGTGTACCACACGGTATGGCGTGAGAGAGGCATGTGTAGCACAAAGAAACATGTGTAGCACAAAGAAACATGTGTAGCACAAAGAAACATGTGTAGCACAAAGAAACATGTGTAGCACAAAGAAACATGTGTAGCACACGGTACGGTATGATGTGCGGGAGGCATCTGTAGCACATGGTAATAGTCTATGGATGTGTGAGCGAGCGGCACCTGTAGCACATCTGTGGAGGAATGTACCAGTAGCACAAAGTATGTTGGGGGGTGGGGAGGGGAGAGGGGGGGAATACATTTGTAGCACATGGGATGGAAGGGGAAGTCATTGGTATTACATGTTATGGGGTGGAAGAGACAAGGCATCAAGCACGTCTTATGGGGGGGGAAGACAACTGTAGCGCATGTTCTATGTTAGGGAAACGCGCGGTTGGTGTGATATCTTGAGCACAGAATACGGACTTGGAAAGCTACAGAACTCATCTTTACTTGATCACAATCTCATCTCATCCTATCGATCCACTCCCATCCAGGCGAACCCGTCCCCTCCGTCAGCAGCGTTCAGAGCCGCAGTGGAGGAGTTTGAAGCGATGCAGAGGGAGCGTGTGGGGTTGCGAGGAGTGGACAGCTGGCAATGGGTCAAAGACAAGGCCACGTGGTATGATGGGGGCATGTTGTGTGATAAGGGCACGTGGTATGATAAGGGCACGTGGTGTGATAAGGGCACGTGGTGTGATAAGGGCACGTGGTATGATAAGGGCACGTGGTGTGATAGGGCACGTGGTGTGATAAGGGCACGTGGTGTGATAGGGGCACGTGGTGTGATAGGGGCACGTGGTGTGATAGGGGCACGTGGTGTGATAGGGGCACGTGTTGTGACAGCACATGGTGTGGTGAGGGCACGTGGTGTGATAATGGCACGTGGTGTGATAATGGCACGTGGTGTGATAAGGGCACGTGGTGTGCTAAGTGCACGTGTTGTGCTAAGGGGACACCGTGCCCTGAACACATGGTGGTCATTATCAACACCCTGCCTGTGCATTATTCAGTCACTTCAGTTCCCCCCCAATCAACATTCTAACGTGCTCATCATTAAAGGCGATTTCTCTATGCATTACAATCCAACTCACGTGTTTCACCAGGAACGAAACAATTCCTCGATATGGCCGTGAGAGGAAGCAATGCCGCTACATTGCCATTCAAGAAATAAACAGAGGTATGTTCTTAGTGAGTACATGCATGGCCTGCAGGCTATTTGTCTAGGAGCCCCAACCTCGCTGCCAGATAACACCTCCCTGCTCCCCAACCTCGCTCCCAGATAGCACCTCCCTGCTCCTCAACCTCACCTTCCTGCTTCTCAACCTCGCTGCCAGATATCACCTTCTTGCTTCTCAACCTCGCTGCCAGATAACACCTCCCTGCTCTTCAATCTCAACCTTGCATGGCCTCATCTTAGATGGGGTATCGGATATGGGATATGGGATAGAAAATGGCTTGGATTGTTCCATCATGTATGTGCATCAAGGCAACAACGAATGGGATCTGATGCGTGCTGCAGCCATTGGTAACAAGGTAACAAGGTAACAAGGTGACAAGGTAACAAGGTGACAAGGTGACAAGGTAACAAGGTGACAAGGTGACAAGGTAACAAGGTGACAAGGTGACAAGGTGACAAGGTGACAGGGTGACAGGGTGACAAGGTAACAAGGTAACAAGGTAAACGGTGATAAGGTGACAAGGTGACAAGGTAACAAGGTAAACGGTAACAAGGTGACAAGGTGACAGGGTGACAGGGTGACAGGGTGACAAGGTAACAAGGTAACAAGGTAAACGGTGATAAGGTGACAAGGTGACAAGGTGACAAGGTAACAAGGTAAACGGTAACAAGGTGACAAGGTGACAAGGTGACATGATTCTCCATCCGTCGGTCACCTTCATGCCGGGAACGAATGAGGGCCCAAGCCAATCATGGGACCTGTTAACAGACCAGCCAATCATTGCCGCCCCAACCAGGGAACGATGGCCATTTTGCACAAGAGGGCTTGGGGAGAGAATGAGGGCTGGGACGTGTTACCAAGCAAGCCAATCATTCCCGCCCCGAGCCATCTTGCGCAAAATGGCCATTTTGGGTCGACTCAGAAGTGAACTTATTTTGCAGGAGTCAAGAACAAGATACCTCTTCTGTGGTCCCATCTGATCTGATCCTATGTTCCCTGATCTGATCTGATTTGATATGTTCTGATCTGATTTGATGCGTGCAGGTGTGGGCAACAGGATAACATCGTACGTCATCTCATTTGTGTTGGGTCTCCTCACCCACCGGGCCATCATCGCGCCACCAAGCGCCTTCCTCACCCGCCGCTTCTGCAACCCCTTCGCCCACGCCAACGCCTCCTGGACCGTCGGGCCCATCACAGAGAGGTGGGTGGGTCACAGAGCGATGGGTGGGTCACAGAGTGGTGCAGTGGGTCACAGAGAGGTTCTGTGGGTTACAGAGAGGTGGGCCCACCAGTGCAGTGCAAGGCGCACAGCAGCTGGTCGCACATCCACAGGTCAATGCCACTAAAGCCCCTCATGCTGCTATCTCAATCACACGCACATGCCATGTCACATCCTTGTCCTTGCGTGAACCCTCCCTCCCCTGCCTTGCCTCCTGCATCACCCCCCACCTCCCTTCCTCCATGCTCCACCTCCCTCCCCGCACGCATTCTGTCCACTCAGATTGTTGTTGCAGGCAGTGGCAGTGCTAAGGCGAAGACCTTAATATCCACATTCTGCGTAGCAGAATGTTAACCATTCACCGTCCGTGTTTTTGAGACGGCTTTTGAGTCGACTCAAAAGTCACAGCGTGCATTCACACCATTCAACCTCAAGTTCCACATTTGCAAAATCAACGCCTCAATGCCCCACACAGATTGTTGCTGCTGCGGCGTGCAGTGCTAACACGGCCTTTTTTTAGTCGAATCAGAAATTGTTGTTGCTGCAGGCAGTGCTAACACGGCCTGAAGCTCCACATTCTAGCAGGATGAGTGACTCTAGATTCACTTGCCAAAGTGAACGAGCGGTTGTTGTTCTAATATCGAGAGAGTTTTCAAAGGCGCCGTCCGTCCTTCCTCCCCCCCCCTCCCCCAACCAAGTTCTCACAGACTGCTGTTGTCTAGTTTCGTCAACACTGATGTGGCGCCCCACGATGCACATGATGGGTTCTTCTTCTCTTCTTCGTCTTCTTTTCTCCCAATTTGCTGGTGTCAACAGTGCTGCTGTTTTTCCTTCTCCCCCCGACCTCTCCCCCCCCCCCCCCCCCCCACCCCCCTCCCCACAACGTTCGTTCAGGCTCTTGCTGTCAACAGTGCTGCAGCAGCCGAAGCTGCACATGAGTGTATTGACCAGACAGCTGTACTGGCGGGGCAATGGGGCATCGGGGAATATGAGGAGGCGCGTGCAAGAGGATGGCACCATTTGGCTGGACCTGAGCCACAGGTGGGCGGCTGATTGTCTGGACCTGCGTTGCAGCATACCGTGTCACATGCATTGTTTTGAGACATCTTATTTAGAAGATGATTATGTCACATGCACTACCATCACATGCACATGCTATAATAATCCTCATTTAGAAGATTATTATGTTTTGCAATATACTGCTGTCCCTGCTTTCTTTTCTGTCGTTCTCATCCTCCCCTTCACTGCCCCCTCTACACCATGCGATGCCATAACTGGTTGAGATACCTTCCCTTTACTGCCCCACCATGCCATGCCATAACTGGTTGAGATACCTCCCCTTCACTGCCCCCTCTACACCATGCCATGCCATAACTGGTTGAGATCCGACCCCCTCTCCTCATTCCACATCCCATTCCCCACCTATCCCTCTCCCATCCCCCTGCCATGCCCCTGCTCGGCCCCCCTGCCTCCCTCACTCCATCGCCATTGCATGCACACCATATCACATTTCTGCACAAGCACACAAAAAAACTTTCAAGGTGTCAATCCCTAAGAGTTGCTGCCACGTATTGAAACCATGGCACCTACTTGGTGCTCGATTCGGCCCCCCTGCCTCCCTCACTCCATCGCCATTGCATGCACACCATATCACATTTCTGCCGTCTCTAGCTAGCATCCCTGCTCTCCCTGCCATCCCTACCGTCCCTGGGGCAAATGGGATGGTTTGAGGCATCTCAAAGCATCCCTTTATCACGTCACCGTCCCTGCTCTCCCTGCTCTCCCTGCCATCCTGCCGTCCCTGCCGTCCCTTCCCCCTGCCGTTGTCACGGGTGTGAGCGGATTTCATAGTAAAGGGGCAGCAGCGTGTGAGTGAAATAAACGCTTGAGCAAACGCTTTGCCCCATGCCTGATGCCTGCAGGGTGCGATCGGAGTTCTGCGGGCTCTTGTGGGGCATCATGGGTGCGGCACGCTTCTGGTTCACCAACATCGATGCATACTTCCTGCCCTCCCTCTACTACGTCCCCCCCTTTGCTGTGAGCCTCCGTTTGAGTCGACTCCGAAGTCACCTTGTTTTTAGGCGAATCAAAACTCCCCTCGTTCTGAGTCGAATGAAGAGGCACGCTTCTGGTTCACCAGCATCGATGCTTACTTCCTGCCCTCCCTCTACTACGTCCCCTCCTTCGCTGTGAGCCTCCACGTTTTAGAAATTTCAAAAGTGACTCTAATATACCCCTAAGCCCCTTCCTGACTGCCGACTCAAAAGTCGCTTCGTCCCTCAAAAGTCCCATTCTCCACTGCACTCTAGGCCGTTCATTCATAGAGCATTGCCTTGATCGTTCCCTATGCCAGGTCAGCATCGAATCATTGCTTTATTGCTCGCTGTCCCTCCCTCCCACCCACCACCCACGTATCCACTCTTGTTGCACCCAAACAACCAGGCGTGCATGTGTGTGCGCTCTCCTCCACTCTTGTTCTCCCTCCCCCCATCCATCCACTCCGCAGGCACGACTCAACGAGCTCTTTCCAGATGGGCGTGTGTTCACGCACGTGGCACGCTACCTGCTGCACCCAGACAACCAGCAGTGGGGCGAAATCACACTTCCTTTCCCCCACCCCGCACCCTTTCATCCTCCCACCCATCCTCTCACAGGAACGCCTCAACCAACTCTTTCCAGATGGGCGTGTGTACACACACGTGGCACGCTACCTGCTGCACCCAGACAACCAGCAGTGGGCCAAATTCACCCTCCCTTCGCCCTACCCATCCTCTGTGCAGGCACGGCTGAACGAGCTCTTTCCAGATGGGCGTGTGTTCACGCACGTGGCACGCTACCTGCTGCACCCAGACAACCAGCTGTGGGACGAAATCACTGCCGTCTTTCATGCTAAACTCGCCCACTTCCCACACCGCCTCGGCATTCAGGTGAGGGTGGTCCGTGCGTTGTGTTTGAGGTGCCTCAAAACTTGTCTCAATAGGAGTCGCAAAATTCGTTGCAATAGGAGTTGCCCCAAAGCTTGTCTCATTTTGCGGCGCCTCAGAACTCGTCTCACAAGGCTTGAGCATTCGGGTGAGAATGGTCTGTGAGTTGCGTTTGAGGCACCTTAGAACTCGTCTCGTTCTGATGCGCCTCAAAACTCTTGTCACAGAATATATTGGTGAGTGTAATACATTCAGTTACTTGCTTGTATGGGTGTAGTTAAGTTATTAGGAGTACTGTAGAACCTGGGGTGGGGTTGGGTTCATGGGTAGTGACGCGGGGTTGTTGGCTTAGGCACCAGCGAGGCACGAAGAAGGGCAAATTCAAGGGACACCGGGCCTTGGGAAATCTGGAGGACCAATCCTAAAGCTTAACGTGGAGCCCAATGTTGCTCTCAGGAAACCGGGCGACACGGGGACCAATCTTAAGGCAAACTTCAGCTAGGTGACTGGGCCCCTGTGGGCAGCCACCGTGTGGGAGGTCGTTTCTCTCACATGGTATTGGCTGAGGAGGAACACGGGAGCAGGCGCAAGACAAAAAGGGAGGATGCAAGAGAGTAGACGGCAGTCCCGGCAGGAGTGAAGGGAGGGAAGAAGGTGGCTCAGAGGTTTCCGACACTCTTCTTTTACCGCCTACGAAAGAGGAGATGGCCCTGTTGGAGAGGTTCGTCGAGGCACCCTAATTGACAGAAGTCGGACTGACGGCGGACTGTATGACATCTCCAGCGAGCAGCAGCAGCGCAATCGGAGTGACGGCTGAATGTACCATGAGGTGGCGTGTGGAAAGTGTTGGCGTGTGGAAAGTGATCAACGAAAGCGTGAAGAAAGTAGCGTGCGACTATGAGTAGGAGCTACGGCATGGGAAAAGAGAGGGAACTTGGGTAATATTAGGGACGATCGAGTCGAGACGAGGGAAGAGAGGATTGGAAGAGTCGATAAAAAAATTGATCTAGGGGAAATTCGGACCGGGGCGTGTTCACGAAAGCACCAAATTCGGACTTCAGGAGTGTTTGACGAAGCTGGGAATATTACGTGTGCGACTTAGGGTGAAACGAGGCGCGCGGAAATAACACGACGAACACGCATTGTTGCGAATCGCATTTGTACTCTGGATTGACTATGAAACTGCATGTAATAATTTGGAAGTACAACTTTTTGAAATTCTAAAAAGTACCCTCTTTCCGTAAAACTCCCGTGAGAGTCCCGTGAGAGTCTCGTGTGAGTCTCGTAAGACTCCCGTGAGACTCCCGTGAGACTCCGGTGACCATCGTGTGGCTTAGAGGCCCGTGAGTTCTGTGGCAGTTCTCCAAGACGAATCCTCGAGAATTCTCTGCTTGTGAGGATTTTGTGAGAGTTGTGTGAGAGTTCTGTGCAAGAACAGCACGTGTTTTTTAGACATTATCGTACACTCCCTCCTGTCTCAATGCCATGCGCTTCAGACTCGTTCCCCCAATGCAATTCAACTGCCAGTGTGTTTTGAGTCGACTCAAAAGACACTCTTCTGACACCAGCGTACTCTCGTCTCTTCTGTCTTGCTGCCATGCGAAATATATGTCGATTCAAAAGGCATGTGTTTATGACACCTCTCTTGTGTCTCGCTGCCCTGTGCTTACAGATTCGGTCTCCTGATGCAATCGATCTGCCGGTGGCTCATCGTGTGCTGGACTGCGCTATCAACATCTCACACTACCTGCCCCCCACCGCCCCACGTGCCCCAGTGAGTACCCTCACACGCCAGTGAGTACCCCTCACACCAGTGAGTGCCCCTCACACCAGTGAGTGCCCCTCACACCAGTGAGTGCCCCTCACACCAGAGAGGCCCCCTTCCCCCCTTTCGTTCCTCCCTCCTCCGCTTCCGACACTCAGCCCTGCAGCCCTTTTTATTTCTTCCTTCCTCTGCTCACCATCTTATGTGCTGCTCCCATATTTTGCTCTCTCCCCTTGAAGAAGATTGGCACACTCCGTGACTTGAAGCAGATTGGCACACTCCGTGTTTTGTTCTCCCCTTGCAGGATGCCCCATGGGCGCCAAGCAGTGAGTCCCCATACGAGAAGATGGGGGTGTTTGTGTCGTCGCTCAGCATCCGTCATTGGATGGACATGCAGCAGCACTACCTGCACCGCCACGTGCTCGGCACCACTCTCGTTGACTTCTGGACGTGAGTGGTCGCTGCCTTGATCCTCTTGACTTTGCATGGTAGTTGGTTAGCCTTGGTATGGGATGGACGGTGGACCTGCAGCACCACTACCTGCACCGCCACTTGCAGTGCAGAGCAGCACTCTCGTTGACTTCTGTACGTGAGTGGTCGCTGCCTTGACCCTTTTGACTTTGCATGGTAGTTGGTTAGCCTTGGTATGGGATCGACGGTGTTGACTCCTCGCCTCGAGAAACAACGGAGTTGACTTTTGAGTCAACTCAATAATCACATGCAAGGCAGCGCTTTTGTTTACTTATGGAGGTGACTCCTCGCCTCGAGAAACAACCTAGTATGTCAAACTGCCAAGCGCAAGATCGATTCTCTTCCCTCGCAGGCATATTGTGGGCATTGGCATGAAATGGACCTTCAGCACCGGCACTCGCACTGCCACGTGAAGAGGAGCACACACGACTTCTGTTGACTTTCTTGACGTCTGCACTACCTTGCTTGCTCCCTATCTCTATGCTTGCGTGCTCCCTTACGGTGGCAGTCTGACAAATGAGAAGGCAGAGAATCGGCGGGAGGAGCAGATGGTGTCAGCGGTCCTGGACATGTGGCTACTGAGCTTCTGGTGAGCATTCTCAATGGAGCTGCCACTGCTCTTCCAGTGTTTGCCTTGCCAGGTCTGTGCCCTGGACGTGTGGCTTCTGAGCTTCTGGTGAGTTGGAGCTGAGCTTGTCTGAGTTGACTCCGCTGCTGCCACTGTTGGTCCTGTATTTGGTACTGACTATAAATGCGCTACTTAACCTTATGTTTGAAATCAATATAAGTGCGTTGCTTAATCGTTCATTTGATTTTACTACAAAAACGTTGCCTATCCTAGGTTCTAAGTATTAATGTGTTTCTCAACCTTAATTCTGTACAAATTATTTGTGTTACTTCACCTTATTGTTGGCACTAACTATATATGCGTTGCTTAGCGTTATGTTTGGGGCTAACTATAAGCGCGTTACTCAACCGTTAACCGTATGTACGGTACAACGCATGAGTGTGTTACTTGACCTGTTTGGTACTACCGATGGTACTACGTATAAGTGAGTAGTTTTCCTTGCGTATGTTACGTATTCTTGTGGTCGTTTCTAACTATAAGCACGTTACTCAACTCAACCTTGCATTCGGTCCTATATACAAGTGTGTCACTTACCCATATTTTTTTACTATTTCTAAGTGCGTAAATTAACCCAGTGGCCGGTACTAAACACACGTGCATTACTTCATCTTATGTTTGGTATCAACTTTGTGTGCGCAACTTAACTCTATGTATGGTACTAGCTGCTGAGCTTCTGCTGAGCTTCTGCTGAGCTGGAGCTGAGCTTGTCTGAGTTGACTCTGCTGCTGCTACTGCTGCTCCTGTATTCGCCTTCCCACCACCTTCCCACAGACCTCGCACCGCCCTCCCACCATCCTCCCACCGCCCTCCCACCATCCTCCCACCGCCCTCCCACCATCCTCCCACCGCCCTCCCACCATCCTCCCACCTCCCTCCCACCACCTCTTACCGCCCTCCCGCCGCCCTCCTACCTCCCTCCCAGCGACTGGCTGCTCATATCGCACCTCTCCTCATCACTCCCCTAACCTAACCCCCCTTCCCTCCTCTGCCCCCCCTGCTCCTCCTGCCCCTCCTGCCCCCCCTGCTCCCTCCCAGTGACCGCCTGCTCATAACGCACCTGTCATCGTTCAGCAGCACAGCAGTGAGGCTGCCAGGCAGGCACACCGTTCCCTCCGCTCCTCTGTTCTCCAACCCAATCCTTCCCTTCTGCCCCTACCACGTGCCTCCCACTGCGCCCTCGCAGCGACCGCCTGCTCATAACGCACCAGTCATCGTTCGGCAGCACAGCAGCGGGGCTGGCGGGCATTGATGGCTTCTCCATGGCCGTCACCGTCGTGCACAACCTGCACATCGACTGGCGCAACATGTCCGGCCCCACGTGCCACCCCATCTCCTCCGAGCCCTGTGACCCCCTGGGCGGCCCTGTCTATTGGGTGAGTGTCTGCTCCTTATTCAATACAACTACAGGGGGGTGTCGGTGAGTGAGTCTCCTCACTCCCCTAGTCCCTTCTACCTTCCCTTGTTTTTTTCTCGTGTGACCACATACTTGGCGTTCTTCAATAGTAGAAAACCCTGTGTTCCTTATCGTGTCACATTTCTGTGAGCGACCGCATGCATTCTCATGTGTTGCATATCCATTTGTGAGCTCGTGTGTACAGGGAGGTTGCAATGATCGTCGAAGATCTGAAGCAAATCTTTCTTTGGACATGATGCCGGGATTTGGAAATTGCCCAGGGATGACATTGGGTTTGCAGAACAATAATCCTCTCTTGGGGTAAGCGGTGGTAAAGACAACATTTTACTGCACTAGATGTGTGTTAAGAATAGCCTGTGTGAGATATCATACTCATTCAGGTAATTATGATCGATTTCGTAGATTTTTTGGAAGTATTAGTTGTGTATATACACTCTGATTTGTAGTAGGTAATATATTTTCATAATGAATGTAAGGATAAATCATTTTGCTTTATCGGGGTTGACTACTTTACGTACAACCCCAACTTTCGAACTCGCACGTTCGGCCAACATCAACGATACCGAGGCTGCCTAGCGCCGCCTTCGGTTTTCCCTTGGCCAACCTGCACCCAACCTCGCGTTCCCGAGGTTCCCGCCTGGCTAGGCCAGGGTAGTCGCTATATTTATGCCGCGTCCTTCATTGTATCGTCAGTGCATTAGTCACAACTTCGTTATTCGTTTTTTCTGCGCAACTCTGTTTGACAACTCATAACACTTGGTATCAGAGCTATTTTCCTAGTTCTCCCCGCTTTTCGAGAGTAGTTTGGTGGCATGGGTGTGACTGGTACGGTGGGCTGCAAAACGGTTGGTTGCAACGTTTTTTTATTACACTTGCCCGACTCTGATAGTTTTTGCGCCTGCACTGTTGCCGGATAGTCACGGATACCCCAATGCCTATTAGACGTAGCTTGCGACTCATGGATCAGGCGGCCTTCGTTAGACTCATGCAGCAAGTAGTGGAGATGCAGAGCAGCATGAAGGCGTTAACGACGGGAGTGGAACAGTTAAGTGAGGAGGAAAATCCGAGCTACGCCAGGCGCGAGGTGAAGCGCGACAGGATTCGCCCGTTGAAGAAGGCGAAACCACCAATCAAGCAGTGAGCGGTAATGCAACTAGCGAGCTCACACGCGGCGTCGAAGAAGGCGATAGGCGGACAGCGCCAGCGACAGCAATCGCTTCTCCGAGGACCCGCACTGGAGTGGTGGCGACGAACCTTGAACACGGGGACCCCGACAGGTGTGAGACATGCGGAAGACAGGAACTCAGACTCCTCCAGCTATCACGACCCTCCTCGCAGGCCAGAGCGATCAGTTCAGCTCCGCACAGCAGCCACGCACGCCGCGAACAATCGCGCACACGACATAAGCTGCGCATGCTGCAGTCGCGCATGCATAGCAGCCTAAGCAGCGCGCACATGACAGCAGCAGCGCACACGCAGCAATAGCCATGCACGCAGCTACAGCCGCGCATGCAGCACCAGCCATGCACGCGCAGCAGTAGCCGCGCACGAAACGGCAGCGCGCGCACGCGCAATGCGCCCGCTGCCACAGCACGCACAGCCGCCGCAGCAACAACCCACCGCCACTGCTACCTTGCGGCTTACAGCTCGCCCCGCCCTAGCCGCCACCAACCGCCAGCCACCGGCCGCGCCAGTACCACCAGTAGCACCTGGCCGCCTTCAGCAGCACCTGGCCGCATGCAGCAGCACCTGGCCGCCTGCAGCAGCACCAGGCCGCCTGCATCAGCACCAGGCCGACTGCACCAGCACCTGGCCGCCTGCAGCAGCGCCTGGCCGCTTGTAGCAGCACCTGGCCGCCTGCAGCAGCACCTGGCTGCCTGCAGCAGCACCTGGCCGCCTTCAACAGGTTCAGCCGCCGCCCACCTCTCTCTCCTGCTTCCGCTTCTCTCTGCATTGGTGTACCCCTTCAGGGGGTGTTGCTATGGTCATCCACTGCAGGCAGTCAAGGGGTATGTTAGAAAATACATTTCATATATATTTGTTTAATTGCCTAGTGTAGACCCAGTGTAGTTCTATCCTTTATGTTGGTGGTGTCAGAAATAAGAACGAGAATGAATGAACTAGCAGCAAGATGGGTACAAGTAGCAAACCCTAATTGGGTTGTACCCCATATGGGCTACCCCACTATAGCCTACACAATAAGCAGCATATAAGTTTGACACACCCCCATAGGCAAAGTGGGGGAGAACAAGAGGTCACAAGACCAGTCAAGAAAAGCAAAGCAAGCTCAGGGTGGATCACGAAGTCACCACGCATTCTGAGCACAAGCAAATGGCCACAAGCCCAGTCCACATGCAGAGTTATATAAAAAGAGAACAAGCAGTACAGTGATCACAACCTAGCAAGTGTAAGCATGCAGGTATATGTATATAGATCACAGTACAAGCAAAGTCAAGAAGTGAGCAAGTGAGGCCAAGTAGGCACAAGGCCTAGAACAGTACAGAAACGCTGATGATCACAAGGCTGAAGTGCCTTGGTGAAGATATCAGCAGTGTTGGCCCGAGAGGTCACGTAAACAAGACGAAGCTGACCACGATGATGCAACTCTCGAGCAAGGAAGTAGCGCAGAGCGATGTGCTTCGTTCTGTTCTCCAGTCTGTGCTCCTGACACAAGGCAATCATGGCCTTGTTGCCAACGTACAGAATTGGAGGAGAACGAGGTGGTTCTCCCAAGTCGGTCAGCAGGTAGGTGAGCCAACGTAACTCCTGTGCAGCCATGGCCCCTGCGTAGATCTTAGCCTCACAACTAGAACTGAGAACAGAAGACGAGCGGGTAGACCGCCAAGAAACAGAGCCGGAGCCAAGGCTGAAAGTGTAACCCTGTGACGACCGCTGCGTAGCCAATTCGTCAACCCAAGAAGCGTCTGCGTGTCCAGTGAGGACAACACGACCCCGTCCTGGACAAGCACGAGCCCCATGCCCGACGTACTGCACAAGTAGCGCATCACCCTCTTAGCGGCCTTCCAGTGCTCTGGTCGGTGTCTCCCGGGCGCAACGTAGCGTGCCAGGATGCTAAGAGGGTAAGCAAGGTCAGGTCGAGTGCAGGTCATCAGGTACATGAGGCAGCCCACAAGCTCTGGATATGGGCCACTCGGCTCTACGGACTCATCCGAAGGCAGAGCTGAGAGCGAGTGACCGGTAGGTAGAGGAGTGGACTGTGGCGAGGAGTACTGGAAGTCGAAGCGCTGAAGGACCTGCTGCACCATGTGTGACTGAGTCAAGGTAATGGTGCGCTGTGCTCTGTCCCGGGTGATCTACAAGCCAAGATAGCTGCGCAGCTCACCCAGGTCTGTGCACGTGTGTCTCTTCTGCAGCTCCGACTTCACTAGGGCCAGTCCGGCAGTGTCAGCAGTGGCAAAGACCAAGTCGGCGACGTACACGAGGATGTAGAACAGCGGCAGAGAAGTGTCGGTGCGTAGAAACAGCGACGGGTCAGCAGTCGAAGGAGCAAACCCAAGAGCCGCAAGCGTCGTCCTCAGTGTGTCGTGCCACTCGCGAGGCGCCTGGCGGAGACCGTAGACTGGCCGCCAGAGGCTCCACTGGGTACCTGCAGGAAACGACCCAGTGAAGCCAGGTGGGCGGCGCAGCCAGATCTCCTCGTGCAGGCTGCCCTGTAGGAAGGCTGTGCTGAAGTCAAGAGTGTGAAGCTCGTAGTCACGCTGTGCGGCAACGTGCAGCAGCACCCGAGGAGTGGTCATCTTCGGGGTAGAGGAGAAGGTCTGGAAGAAGTCAACTCCCTGTCGCTGACTGAAGCCTCGAGCAACGTAACGCGCCTTGAAGATAGGCGGAGAACCCGGCGGCCACTTCACCCTGAAAATCCACATGCCACTGACGATGTTCGCCCCAGGTGGGGGAACCTCGTCGACGTAGGTGCATGTGGACTTCCAGGAAGCCATCTCTGCGTCCATGGTTGTCTGCCACTGAGAGGAGTAGGGACCCTCAATCGCCTTTGCGTAAGAGCGCGGGGTCGGGATGTCTGGTGCATCCGGGTCTCCCTCAGGTGCAATCAGCATGGACACGAGATGAGGTAAAGCAGCTGCAAAACACTCAAACTCCTCCTGCCTGTCCTCAAGGATGTTCGTGCCAAGAGCACACTCACCCCCGACGGACGGAGGACAGACAGACTCAGATTCAGCAACAAGAATAGCGGCGTAGTCGAGGCGACAGGCGGCAGCCAAGTCAACAAGCTCAGCAACTAGAGCAGACACAGCAGTGGACTCAAAGGAAGGGTCAGTGACCACAGTGGCGAGAAGACGTGTGACAGTAGGACTGGCATCACGAGCAAGGTCTGACGGCGGGTCAGCAACGTCAGGAAGAGAGGACGCAGGAGGAGACGGTAGAGGGACACGCTGTGGAACAGAGGAAGGACGAAGTGCCATCTGGTGTGTGCCTGGGACAGGAGGAGGACGCGGACGCGGAACACGACGACCAGTGCGAACAGCGCGAACAGGCGACGCAGGACGAGACTCAGGCTCACGACGCTCCGAAAGACCTCCTGTCGGCCCAGTGTAAGGAGAAGGAGCAGGCAGTGGGGAGGCTGGCTGTAACTGCAACTGCGACTGGTCAGGCGGTGGACACAGTAAGGGAGGAGTAAGGCCAGTAGAAGGCGGGAGACCAAGAACCTGCTGAAGCAGTGGAACGAAGTACGGTCGCGGCCGCACAGTGCCTCCAGAACCAGCACCGACAGCACCAGTACCCCCAGCTCCAGGGTCTCCAGCTCCAACGCCTCCAGCTGGAGCAGCTGGAGACCCTGGAGCTGGGGCAGCTGGAGACCCTGGAGCTGGGGGTACTGGTGCGAGAATGAGCGACAGGGGGGGGGGAGAGGGGCAGAGCGGTAGGGGAAGAGACGGTAAAAAGGAACCGACTCGTCGAACGTGACGTCCTGAGAGGGCAGGACAC